GGCAAACTGAAAGGCCGCCAGCTGTGCGCTTATCCAGCGTAGCAAGGTGGCGCCTTGTGGAAGGGTATCTGTAAAGCAGCATATAGATTCATTTCAGCTATACACTGTTGTGTATATAAACTAACCTCCACTGCGCCTCTTGCGTCTGCCCGGCGTCTCGACATGTGGCAATTGGATCGCGTGCGTATCCATAAAAGTCTGCTCCAGTATTGATGGATCATCGGTGTCAATAAGATGCTTTACTTGCCAGCTATTAACCGATTCGCGATTGAGGTTCGGATATCTTGTGGACGGATCCACAGTGTAGGCGCTGATATCACGTTGCAGAGTATCCGGTGTGGTCTGATTAAGCAAGCGATAGATGCTCTCACGCTGTGCCAGAACGCCCAAAGTGCTGTTTTGTGGATTGGACCACAGCTTGATGGCGTATGCAGCATCCATGCTAGACAGAAAACCACGAGCACAGCCCGATCCAGTTGGCCAGAAAGGCTCCAGCAAACTGTCACCCACGAGGCACTGAAGTAGTCGGCAGCCCTTACGTACCAGAGCACGGCAGGACATCTCGGCAGCAAACATGGAGGTAAAATCGAACATGGCCACATCCGGCTTACCATAATGATTCACAGCAAACTCCAGATTGGGCATTTGATATTGCGTGGAGAATTCGGCAGCCTCACGTGCGTAGTCGTGGAGCTTCTGGGTGTCCACATTGGCGGGCGCTAGCAGCTCGGCGGGATCGGCCATGTCCTCAATAATGACACCCTTATCGATCAGGCTGTGCTTTTTGGCAGTCATCACAAAATAATGCGTCTCATCTTTGTAGTAGACAATGTTCTCGAGATCAATGCCCGTTCGACTGTACAGCTCCTTGAAGAAGGCCTGATTGAATATAAAGGCCACGCCGCTTATCTCCTCCACCTTGGCCTCCGCCTCGGTCTTTTTGTTGATAAAATTGGCCGTTATGGCAATGGCCAACTTGCCGCGAAACTCCTTGCGTCTAAACTCAAGCATATTACGCTTGCCATCGGCGCCGATCAGTACATCGAATTCATAGTTTGACACCGCATGATCCGCTGGTGTGACAGCTGCATGCCATCCGGTGCCATCGCCGCTCGGCTCCAAGGGATGTTCGAAACCGACACCCTCGTGTATCTCAACTCCCAGCAGGAGAGCCACCTTGAGAAGCATGCACTGCAACTGCCTGATGGAGATGTGGTCAATGGAGCCCGCACAGAACTTGCCATAGAACTTCTTGGCACCTAGATTCCTCAGATCCGTGATGACAAACGGCCACAGATGCAGCACATTGTTGCGAGTTATACGATCGCGCTTCTCCAGCACCACCACCTTGGCACCCAGCAGTTGCGCCTCAATGGCCGTGCGCAGACCACAGGGTCCGGCGCCAATGACCAGGACACGGGTGCCAGTACAGGCATTGCCCTTGCCATAGACCCGATGTGCGGCACGTGCATCGAACTTTTTCCACAGCGCCTGCGCCTTCCACGATCGCACCTTGGCCTTGAGCTTCGGATAGAAATCGTTCAACGGCGATGGACGCAGCCCCACCGCCTCGCACATGGCTCGATGCAGGGCCAATATTTGGCGCATTGTGGTTGCCACACAGAGCAGATCAAACAGCTCGGCGGCCTCCGCGGCAGCGGCATGTTCTGCCATCAGCAGCGCCTGCTGTTGCTGCTGTTGTGCCGTCAGCAGCTGCTGCTGTTGTTGTTGCTGCTGCTGCTGTTGTTGCTGCAGCTGCTGCTGGTGGTGCCGCTGATGCTGGCGGCTCATGCTACAAATAGAAGAAATACAAATTTATATTAGCCAAGAACGAGTGACATTTTATGCTGAATTGAAATTTTTGAATTCAACTAATTAGACGCTGATTTTGCCTAAATAATTAATAAGCCCCTTATATAGTTATTTACAAAATATTGCATTCAGCATTCGTTTTGACGTCCTAACAGGCCCAGTTGGCCCCACCTCAGCGCTCTTTTATTGTCTCTTTGCGTTTCATGATTTCTGCCGTCTCGCCTCCACAATTTCATTAATTAATGACAAAACAAAAAATAAAATTAAAAATCATGTTTACAATCGTCTCCTCAGCTTATGAGCTAATGTCAACGACCTAAGAAAAGCTTTTCGCTCGGGTTCAGCAAGTTGAGCTTGAACAGAGAGTGAGAGTGCGTGTTATTCACTTCCTATATATAGTACTTTCCTATATAACAGTGGGGACTATTCGATTTCTCGTACGGCTGAACTGAATCACTCCCACTAAAGATATTAATTAGTTCGTTGCTTAGTTAGTTCGTTGTCTTTGCGTCTATGTGCAATAATACCTATATAGTTAAAAGAATTATAATATTTGAATAATTTTCCAAGGCATACTGCACATCAAACATAATAAATGTGGCTGATTTCAAGCATTTGAACACCCTGTATTTTTTAGTAGCAAATTGAGTGCCGCATTCCAAGCTGATTTCTAAGCTTTCGTAGCTTTACTACGTCATTGCTTTTCAATATTTTCAACAAAACTTCATATATTGCATATCAAACACATATGTTAAATAGTTTATTATGGAAATCATGGCCGTAAATCCATGTTTGCGGTTTACAGTTCAAACCGTAGCCTCGCCTTTAGAGACGATTCTTGAGCCTGGGCCTTCACAGCCAAGACACAGATTTTGGTGCAAGACTTGGTTCGTCACATTTTTCTCAATTTAAAACAAAAATGTAAACTTATAGGATGTTTTGCTCTTCTTTTATTTTTAGACTGGTTCGATAGTAGAAAAAAAAATCGAGCTCAAAACAGATTGATTGATACCGAGTGCCAGTCTTACTTACTCGACACTTGAGTACAGGGTAGCCTTTAGTACAGCAGATAATTTCTCCATGTTGCTTTGTGGACAAACCCTTTATCAAAGTTGTAATTGGATTAAATGTTGAGTTCATAACCAGAAGCAATATATTATGTGAAATATAAGTGCTTTGTCAATTATTAATCAATAGGATAACTGTATGGGTTTTGAAACTGTTTTGCATGCTTAATTATAGCAGTGCTTTATATAGACCACGTCCAAGCATACATATTAAGCACTTGAGCATTTAAAGGGATTCCTAGAAAATAGCAAATCCCTTTCAGGCATTGTCGTTGACAACAATTTGCTTCCTCGTAAGTGGAATAAAGCAGATCTCGTCGCAACATCGTGCTTCAATTAATTAAATTAAAAGCAAAAATAAATCAAAATTAAAGAAGCGCATAAAGTGGGCAGTCAGGCGACGATTACTCATGCAAATGCCAGAGGCGGCATCAGGAAAGGCTGCTCAGATTTGTGTAGATTGGATTGGATGTGGAATCGGAACAACAAAGGAGTGAAAGGAAAATTGCGTTGCCATTTAAAAGCGGACAGCATTGACAACCAGAGCAGACAAAACGCAAAACCCAATGGGGAAATGAGCCACTGAAAAGCTAAAGTTTTGTGGGCGCTAGACGTGCAACAACCTGACAATGGGTCCAAGGAACAGACTGTTGAGTGCTCCGACAAAGCATACGATATATATACACATACTGTGCATGTATACACCATATAGTTGGGGCTTATGAAAATGAACTTCAAAGCGTTGCAATAAAAATGAAAAGTAAGCCACGAGACAGGGCAAAACTTGGCCTTTGTTTGCAAGGAATGTGGAATCCAGAGAACGTTGGAATCTCACAAGCTGGCGCACAAATGAGTAGCTATAATATAAAAAAAAAAAAAAGAAAAAAGAAAACAACAGGAACAACAAAGGAACTAAAGCCGCAGGCGATACTGCCACCGGGTACTGGCTGCTCGTTACCCCGGCTTTTTTTTAAATTAAATGAGCCGGAAAATAATCGCATTGTTAGATGGGTATACTGGACTGCCCTGGTCGAGAGTTTATTGCACTGGACTGAACTCCACTGCACTTGTGTAGGTTTTCCCATGTGCTGTCAAATTTACACTTAAAAACAGATATCTTGAGAAATACATTGAAAAAACTAGTCAAAAGGGCAGCAGTGTCAATCAGAGTGTCAATATGTTGCAACTGCCGATGATGCATCTCCAGGGGGCGTACGTTCGCGCAGCTCCCCAGATGAAGGCGAAGGCGATAGCACGAATGGCGGCAATATTGGCGGCGATCCGTCCAATTGCTCCAGCTTAATCATCAACGGAGATGGCTGCGGCAGCACTTCCTCATCTCGACAGTCCAGTGATAGCATTTCATCCACATACTTATCGATATCTTGGCGCAACTGATCAATAGTTAGCTGGACAATTGAGTACTGATAGTTTCGGCAGCTAAAGAAACCCTGATGCACACCAGCCGCAAGAATATCACCAACAACAGGCTGAATACGTTTACGGGCCACTTTATATATATTGGCCACACGCTGAGACACCTCCTCAATGGTGGCCGGGCGACCAAGCACCTGAAGTACCTCTAATACTAAAGCTCCATTCTGTTTGCCCAAGTTCGATGGATTCATAGCGAATAAATATTTTTTGGGTTTAACTAATAAATATGTACAAGAAATTTACGCTCGACGATGCTTTGGCTAGCGATCAAAAAGGAATCGAAATATTTTTATAAAATTATTTGTATGTTCTCGCTAGTTCTAAGGTATATAACAATCTGAACTATTAAAACAAATAAAAGAAATCGACGAAAATATTTGACAACTCAGGCAAAAGCTTAACTAAATTCTTAAGAGCTCTACAAAAAGACAGAGGCAAACAAAAGACGAATGCACAATGGAAAAGAAAAAACAGGACTTCCTTTTCTTCTATTTCCGTACTAACATACTTGGGCCGGGCAATCTATTGTATTACTATTCTATTAGTTAGCTTACAAAAGGAATGCCTTTTAACTGTTTTTTCATTTTGTTATACATATAATACGTTTAACCCTACCATAGACAAATTGTTCAAAGGATATTATTTCCAATTTCTGTCCTCTCATCGTCTAGTTAAGTTGCACATTGGGAACACATTCGATTGGCGCCATGAAAGCCATAAAAAGCAAACGCACAGTGCTCGGAGGCAAGCGTCCATGCCAAAGCTCGTCAAGGAACAACAAGCAACAAGAACGTAAGTTAAACACACGACACTAAAATACCCCTTAACAAAACACAAATATTTTATTTTGTTAAGCTCGTAAATATTAACCAAAACAGTTTTGATTTGGAGAACTGGTATTTGATTCCCTTTAATTAGGGTGACTTTTACGTAAATTCGGAACTACGCTGCTTAATTTAAGAATTAAGAATTTTTTATAATGCTCATCCATTTACCTATATATAAATTTGGATATGCATAACTTGAAGATTTGTTTAAACGTTTGTCAGGCTGAAAATACCCGCTCAAGCTATATCTATTATATGCGACCACCTACAGGGTTGGGGTTGGCGACATTCTGACGCTTGATGTCCCTTTCTCTTTCTGTCTTTTATTTTATATTCCTTCTCTTCCGTCCCTTTCAGTTTGTAGAGTTGCCCCAATAAAGGCGGCGTGTGACACATTGGGCACAGCATATTATGTCACTGGCGGGCAGAACGTTGAGCTGGGAGCTCAACATACGAAATTAAACATGAACAACAAGGAAGTTAAAGTCGAAAGTAGTGGGAAAGTTAAATGCTTATCGATTTTGCTCATCTGGTTAACCGGCGTAATGCTTTGTTTGTTGAGGCAGGAAGACTGAGGAATTGCTAAGCACGTGGCGGTCGCTAGGGCAAGACCTCAAATGAAAATTTAAGGGATATTCGTCTACTTATTTCCATACTGCCCGAATGAGTCATCCAGCTATGCAAATTGCAAGGTGTTGGAGGGTTGTATCTTTTCTAAGCACACGTCATAGCAAAAAGAATAATTTAATAATTATAATCGAGAGATTGTGAGAGATATGACGTGTTGCAGATGGCTGCCGGACAAGATCAAGGTTCTATAAATTATACGAGCCATTTCTCTAAAGAGTACAGAAACCGAATTGGCCAATAGCCAGCAAATTTCATAATTATTAAAAATACAAATTTTCTGCGCAACATTAATTTTGCGAATTGTTTGTTTTGTTGCTGTTTTTTGTTGTCAATTTTCAAATTGTCTGATTACCTGTGCGAATTTCTTGTTTATTTTTCTTTTTGACGCTTGTCAAATGTCTTGTGACGCTGGCTCAACTTCACAATTTATTTTCACAATATTTTTATACACAGTTTTTTTCGATTCGTTGCGCACTCAAAAGCCGCCCGTTCATTAATGAAACATCTCCGAGGCTGTCGGGCATTTTTTAAGCATTTGTGAATAAAAGAGCGTATTCACATATTGATACAGATAAATTTATTCACACAATGAGTATCTATCTACGCACACTTGCACTTGCAAGTAAACAAAAACAATGAAAATTCAACAACAAGGTAAATTAATGACATATAAGGCGAAAAGTAAACTCTAATTATAGGTTTATAGATATTGTATCTATGAAACAAAAAACAACGCGTAATACAAATGTTTTCATAATCAACACTCAAACGCAGCAGCAACAAATAACGTGATTTATGAACGCAGAACGCAGAACACACAACGCCGATAAGAAAGTGACGGAACAGAGTTCGAGATACTTTCAAACTTAGTCAAGAAGTCATAAATGCAAACACAACTCAAACTGCATTTTCGTATGTGAGTCACGTAATTAACATACATATTTCTTTTCGTTTAATTTATAAGATGGGAAATATCGATTGAAATATGTGAGAAATACGTGAAGATTTTAATACTGTAGCTAAACAAATGGAAACATATTCCAAACGGCAGCTGTGGATTCAAAAGAAAAACAAATACATCTAATACTGGCAAGTATTTATTATAAAAATATAGTTGTACTATCGGAAAGTATTTTAAAGCGAAATTGATAGAGCTGGATTCCATACTATTAAGATAAAATCCAAAAGCACAAAACAAAAGTGACAGCTGCAGTAGGAATGAGTCAAGTTCTTAAAGAAAATCTTAGAGGAACTCTTGGTATCTTTTACTACGTCTTTTGCTTCGTCTGTAAAGTTAGTTTCAATATTTAATGCTATTGTTGTTTATCCAGTGTCTGAAATATCCTAAGAGCTGCTATAGAAACCGAACAAAGATTCTCTTCTATAGTTTATGCCAAAACGTAGCAGACAGTTCTTAGAAATTTTCACTCTCCAAGTGCTTGTATTCTTGGGAACCCTACTAATACAGGCTAGGACCGGCTCCTATCATTGGTTGCAACTTGTATTAATGTAAAACTTTTGGTTTATTCGCACTTTTAAGTGTAGTTCTCGGCTCCCTTAAGGCATTCTTCCGAACGCTTGATTGATTTATTCGCATGTTGGCGTTTGTTTGCGCCAAATGTTTTCTAATTTTGGCACCCAATTGCGCCAATTGGGCGGCAATGTGCCGCATATATGTTCAAATTGCAACAAATTGATTTATGACAAAACAAAAAATAAAAAACAAAACAACAAAGCCTGACCAGATCCCAGAAACAATGCGGAAACGCAGCTGATGGCAGGGGGTGTGTATCAGTATATAAATGTATTTATATATTTACATACGGGGTATTCACGATAGGAAAAACTTTTTGACATGACAGCACTTTTCACGTTGCATTAAAATCGTTTTTTGTTATAAACGAGATGACAGCGAAAAACTAGAGAAAATAAATTTTAATGTAAACAAATTTTGATTAGATGAAACTCGTCGCCTATTTTGGTGGCGAGCCAAATATTTGCCCATTGTTATAAATTTTTTGATGTATCTCATTTGACAGCAGCAGACATTAACAAATAAATCAGATATAATAAGGGGAAACTTAAATTGAAATTTTGTTGCCCAAAATGGTTTTTGATTAGTCAACAAAAGAAAGGCAATAAGATTTTAAATGATCAGACAAAAAGTTTGTACTAAACTTTTTTTGTGCCCAAAGTTTCCTAACACAAATTGTTGTCAAATAAACTTTTAAAAGATTACGCAAAATATTTCGTATGGTGGTAACTTGAGGCAAAAGTACATTAAAAAAGTCAAGCAAAATGCACAGCTATATGTTTAAAAAAAAAGTTGTATTTAAAAATTCTCTATTCTTAGACACAAGGAAAATTGGGTCAAAGCAGCCACCAGCCAAACATTTGGCAGCCTGAGCATAAAAGTGACGTAGAGGGAGAGAGATAGAGTATCTGTGGACGAGTGAGCACTTCACTATATATACATATACTTTCAAATGGCATTTTAATTGATTCTGAGTGTACTGGGATATTATAAAAATCGAATTATATGCAAAATCAATTTACTGAACTGTTGGCTGCCCGCAAATGACATCATAAGCGAGCGCTGCTCAACCCTTCAATTTGCAGCATCCTCATTTTCAGAGCAGAGAAGAGGGGCAGCAGGGCAGAGGAGCCTGCCACAATTTCTCCATGTCATATATCCTTATAAAATTGCTGACATCATTTGCACAGCAGTTGTCGAGTGCCGCTGTGTTTTCTATGAAAGTTTCTCGCTTCAATTTCCGGTGCGGGGATACATGATATTATGTGCCCCGTGCACCTACATTTAAATAAAATTTATGCCGCCTGCACACAATGCCGCTTGGGTTGTGGTATTTGTGCTGAGGGGGCGCAGCCGGCTGTTCCATTTACCAACTCGGATTCGGGTCATACAAAGTTGTTTTGCAAATTTAATAACAATTTGCATAAATTTACAAGGCTAATGCTGCAAAATGGTTTCGCAGGCGGAATATGGACGTGGGACGTGGGTTATAAATCGCAGTGGAGCTCTACTTACATCTCTCAGTCGAAGGCGTTATCTTTTAGATCTGTCATAAGTACATGCAGCATTAACTGTAAAAAGATACAAAATGTTGAACATAAATTAGCCAAGTATATAAACAGATTATAAATCATAGTTCAAATATTATTGATATTTCAATGTGAAGGCCACTTAAAGAGTTATGATACTATCAATTGTCAGAAAGGGGACAGCTTCAAGAAAGAAAAAACAATTGTTTTGAGATCTTTTTGGTTTTCATTCATTTCAGGTTTTACAACATTGTGTGGGTCGCAAGACAAAGAATAATGCAAAACTTGTATTACAGAAAAACGCTATACATAAAAATAATTGTTTATGTGGGCTGTTGATTGAGAGTTTTTGCGTTTTATATCAACTACAGCTAATCGGTCGATGTTGAAAAATATATATAAACAAATGTACGCATGTTGTACTGGCGACTCTGATACTTTTTAATACATACAAGAAAAATCAGCAGGTGTGGAAGATGCTCACAAAGAGACACTGCGATATTAACGTCATAATGCACATGATTGTGAATGATGCTCGTGGAATTCGATTGGAGCAAAAACTTTATACGCATCTTCACCTGCCAGCTTGCCACATTGTAATTACCAACTTTTTTTTTGTTATGCCAGTTTTTTACAATCTATAAAAAAAAAAGCTTAGACGCAAACATGCAGGCATTGAGCATAAAGCGCACTGTGCATACAGTGCCTACAAAAACAACTACAACACAATATGGTTAAAAGTATTTTTTCAAGCGGCTGCCGGCACGAAAATGGCATTAAAGTCAGCCAAGACGACGCTTAGTCGAAAGGCGATGGATAAGACTAGACAACAGCCATCGACAGCAGCAACAGCAGCAGCAACAACTGTCGTTCAAAAGGTGCACAACGCAGCAACTTGGCCAGTAAAATAACCCAAGCCTAGGCGTAAATTCACGTGGCCAACATCAACAGCAAAACAATAAAAAACTACCGTAAGGTAAAAGTTGATGGATAGAAAACCGCCATCTAAACACTCTACTATATATAAATATTTTATATGATGTGATATTATAATTATCTCTTATTCTCATATATATGTACATATCATTACCTGCCATCGAATAATTTTATAATATTTATATAGATCTTTGAAACAAAGTTTATGGCCAATCGGACGAAATCTGAAACTTCACCCAAAAAAACTCTGACCTATATATTCCACCCAAAAGGAGTGGATTATCTGAAAAGGATGAAACATATCCGGCTTTAAATAAAAAGGTATTTACTCAAGAACACAATTGTGAGTTAATAAACTTATTCAAACAATACATCCGTACACTAGGCTTTGATTCGAACACACAACTTATTTTTTTCTGAACTACTGGCTTCCCTAAACAAAGTGGGAATAAACTAATTTATAAAATAATCGATACAGCTTATATAAAGAAATAGATAATTATAATTATATTGAAACGAAGAATTGGGAAATTCTTAAAATTAGGATTCTACGAATTCCATGATAAAGCCGATAGAAGAAAGTAAATTAACTATATAATAAGGATATAGCTACAAACTTATTAAGAAGGCCTCAAATATTCTTAGCAAAGTGTATTCAATAAGCAGACAATAATAATAACAATGGAATTAACATGAACAACATTGCGGCAGCGCGTTTTGTTGTTTTGAATGTTTTTTTTCTTTAAGCCATTTTTGGCAGTTTTGGCTGCCGTTGCCAATGAATGAAATTAAATGTTCGCCCCTTGGGCGAGAGACAACGAGCGGTGGACACACACACACACACACAAAAAATAGTTAGCCCAATGCAAAGCAAAGCCGGGCCACGTCTTTTGGGTTTTGGGCAACGGAATCAACAATAACAGCAACTCGTTTGTTGCCGCTTGCTGTAAGCGTCAAGTTGCCAAAGTTGGCCAAGTGTGCAATGGCAAGTGTTCAGTTATTTTTATAGCCACTGCAACAACGACAACAACAATGGCAAACACGACAAGTGCAGGGAGTGAAATATGATGGCAAGCTGAGTGCGCCGCCTGAGCAGGAGCAGGAGGTGGAGCAGGCGGTGGGACGCCTTAAGGAAAACTTGAAGCTGGCGAGTAAGTGTCTCCCATTGTTGGTCGGGACTTTAACGGGCAACGAGCGACGTCAACGTTGACGTCGGCGCTTTCACTTGCACCGGCGACTTTTCCAGCACATAAAAACGTGTTTGCTATGCTCTTTGAGCTCGCTCCTTACTTGTTGTTGCTGTTGCTTGCAGCTGTTGTTGTTGTTGTCTTTATTTTGGCCTAATAAATAGCAACAGGCAACGGCGACAAATTGAATTCTATGCATTAAACGGATACTGAACTGGCCACACCCAAAAATATATATATTCAAGCCAAGCCAGCAAATTTATTGTTTATATGCAAAACAATTCTCATTTCTTTTTTGTAATAGCTAACAACAATATTTTGTGTATAATTTATTAATGTCAAATCAAAATGCACAAGAAATGTATGCGAAAGGCAAACCACGCAACAGCAAAATTTGAATGTTTATGCAAATATTTGTTTAAATAATTATAGTTGCTGATGATATAATGCTAGTTGGGGCTTGAGCTATTTATTGAGAAGAAGGTGCCAATAGCTGGAATTGAAATATCATTAGTTGGATCTTTTAGCTATTATATATTCTATATAGTATACAGCAGCTGTCTTTTATAGATAAGTTGCCATCTTTCGCTTATCGCATGATCATATTTCGCCGCTGTGACTAATGCTTGTAAAATACAAGCTTTGCCTATTTGTTCGTTGGATTTATATGCAAACTTAGCGCTATTTAAACGCCAGCTCGTTATAAACTAGAAAAACACAAAATGAACTGCACACACGAACTCGGGCAAATATAAATCTACCTAATTCGGCTCGAAAATTAAGATAAAACCACCATCAACCTGTCGTGTTGTTAAATGTTGTTCATTATGGTCATGCTCGCAAGAAAGAAATATCAATGAAGACGCACACACAAATTGTGGCTAACGTCCATATTTAAGGCCACAGTCATAACCTCAGACCTTAGCCAGGGGCAACTGCAAGTGTAACCTTAGACACCATTTCATGATACAGATACGAAAACTTAGTCAAAACAACAACAGAAATATAACCAAATGCATAAGAATGCTCTTGAGTAGTTGAGGGATTGAATATGGCTTTTTGAAAATAAGCGAGGGTTGCTCTATAAGTTATTAAGTTTTTATAACATAATTATTTATGAAGAAGGCTCTTAAACGGCCTCAAGCTGCACTAGTGCGAACCGTGTCTACTTATCAACAGTTTTTTTTTTTGGCGATAAACCTTAAATTAAATGTTTTGGGACAAATGCAGGGTTCATTCTTTGATTTAAATGTAATTCGGGAGATGAGCTCCGTTCCAAAGCATTAACAATTTGGGGCCAAGCCATTATATTTGTGAAACTATATTTGAAATAAAAAAATATATACATATTTTATAGCTTCTAGAAACTAGAAATGATTCAGCTTAACATCCATTACTGATGAATGCTGATACATATCGATGTTTCCTGATTCTTCTTAATTTATTTAGATGATCTCTAGAGTATATGTATTCAAGATAGTCTTTCGCAGATTACTATTAAGAAATCCATAATATTCTGACAACAAAATATTGACATGTATTACATAAGCTTATTAATTCTGCGGACTATAGTAACTGCGAAAGATTATATTTAGAATGAATAATTACAGAACAGAAGTAGTTAAACAGGAAATAGAAATTATTGGCGATACTCTTGGAAGCCGATAATTATGGCACAAATAAAGAACAGATACAGGGAACTTGTGAGACAATTGGTAGGTGTTATCTACTCCATGTTGGTCCAAAAAACCTATTTTCGGCTTTATTTAAAGCTTACGCCTTATCAGCAGCTTTAACTGCATGTAGAAACATGCGGGCTGTGCGGGCTATAAAATATCTATTATATCAGAGTGCAACAATAGCATTGACCTCGCTGTGAGCGGCTCCTGCTTAATCAGCAACATCAACTGCAGCAAGATACGCCTATGCATGCAAGCGTGTGATGTGTGTTGTGTATGTGTGTGCGCTCAACGTTTATTGTAAAAAGTGCACTCTGCGCTGTCATAATTAACATCTAAGCAGCGATAAATGCAATTAGCGCTGGCAGCAGTCATTGACGTTGTCCCAGACTCAGCCCCAGCTCCAGCCGCGGTCCACCTCGACTTGATTGCACTTTCATTGGTGGGTTCATTGTCGGCCCACAGCTGTAGATGCATATTTGTTGGGTATGCAGCCAACGCCCTGTAACTCCAGGTCAAAAGTTAAAGCATCAAGTCAACATTGATTGCAGTTTTAATGTGTACACACACACACACCAACAACAACTTAGCTAGCCCTGCTTTGTGTCGAGTATCTGTAAGATACACATTGCAGGCCAAGCAAACAAATGTTAGAACATAAACACAGCCAAGAATACCAAATATATGCATAGGGGCAAGGCCTGAAACTCTTGGATTGCTTTAAAAATACAAATAATGCAGCATGTGCCTGTTTAGATCAAAAAAATATACAAATGTATCTGCATCGGTTGCTGCTGCAATTGATCGCATTTCTCCAAGATTTGTACTTGAGCAAGAAATTATATTCTATTCATGTTTGTAAATTCTACATGGATTCATAAGGGGATTGTGTGGGATGTTTATGATATAAAGTTAATACAAGTTAATATACATATATAAAACTTGCTTGGTTCCCAGTTTTTTCCTTCAAAATAAAGACAGCAATTTTCCACCCGTTTCACGTTTGTGGAACATTCGAATGGTAGACAGAAAAGTTTCATACAACCTTTTTTCGCGATTTTCCCACACTTGCGGGCGGGGTTTCCCAACACTTCGTCCTCGCGTTTGGTCTGTGCGCTGATCACCAGTCAGACACCCAATTAGTCAATCAGTCAATCAGGACAAATAGTTTAATATATAGAAATAAGCAATAGTTTGCAGTTAAATATATTACTTTTTCTCTCTGTGTA